CTGTTTTTGGTGTGTGACTGGGGAATAGTCACATGGCAATGTTCCTTCCTGCTCAGACTGGATGACCAAAAAAAGAAAGGATATTAAAGAGGGCTTCATGGACACATTTTTCACAAGACTAACACACCAGGACTGTTCTTGTGATTGTGAACAATAGTTCTTCTTACTTTATGTTAATTATTATTTACTATAGTTCTATTAGGTACTTAACAAGGCAGTATATCTAGCAGCAGCCAACAGAACATTCATTTTAACAAGTCTTTCACTGGGTCATTTGCTTGTACAAAACTACTCAAATAAGCGTCACTCCAATCTAGATCTGCCTATTTTTATTTTTTGATCTAGAGATGTAAAGCTTGAAAGGTTCCATGGTTTGTGACATTTACACCCACACCCAATTTATCCTATGAAGTTTAATAGAGAACTCTGTCTTTTCCATAAGATTTTTTAAAACCACATATAGCTGGTACAAAAGCAAGTATAAAGTGCTCTATTCAGTTCTTCAGGCTGATTTAGAACTTTTATAGGAAGGACCTTTTACACACTATATGTTTAAGAGTAATTTTTATAGAAGATGGTTGGTTTCATCCTTTTGAAATTCTACTGACCTGATTCTCAGGTCTGGGCAAGCTTGTCTTTTCCACTACCCCAGATTATGAGGCTGTTCAGGCAACTAGCTATTCCTAGAGTGCAGAAGCATTCCAGCTACTGTACCTTTCCGTTGGCCACATCCCCTATGAAATGCATTGTCACAGAACTGCTGCAATCAATTTACAGCCTGAAGCATGAAAGTTTATTACCCCATTATTGCATGAAAACTATCCAGGTAGGAATTGTGCAAAATATTATAAGAACGTAAGAATGGCCATAGTGGGTTGGACCAATGGTCCATCAAGCCCAGTATCCTGTCTTCCGACAAGTGGCTGGTGCCAGATGCTTCAGAGAGAATGAACAGAACAGGGTAATTATCGAGTGATCCACCCCATCATCCAGTCCTAGCTTCTGGCAATCAGAGGTTTAGGGACACCCAGAGCATGGGGTTGCATCCCTGACCATCTTGGCTAATAGCCATTGATGGACCTATCCTCAAATGAACTTATCTAATTCTTTTTTAAACCCAGTTATACTTTTGGCCTTCACAACATCCCCCGGCAACAAGTTCCACAGTGCGTTGTGTGCTGTGTGAAGAAATATTTCCTTTTCTTTGTTTTAAATTAGCTGCCTATTCATTTCATTGGGTGACCCCTGGTTCTTTTATTATGTGAAGTGATAAATAACACTTCCTTATTCACTTTCTCCATATCACGCATGATTTTATAGACCTCTATCAGGTCCCCTTCTCAGTTGTCTCTTTTCTAAACTGAGGAGTCCCAGGCTTTTTTAATCTCTCCTCATTTGGAAGCAGTTTAATACCCCTAATCATTTTTATTGCCCTTCCCTGTACTTTTTCCAATTCTAATATATCTTTTTTAGAGATGGAGTGACCAGAACTGCACATAGTATTCAAGATGGGAGTGTGCTATGCATTTATATAGTGGCATTATGATATTTTCTGTCTTATTAGCTATCCCTTTCCTAATGGTTCCTAACATTCTGTTAACTTTTTTGACTGCAGCTGCACATTGAGCAGATGTTTTCAGAGAACTATCTACAAGGACTCCAAGATCTCTTTCTTGAGTGGTAAAAGCTAATTTATACCCCTCGTTTTGTATGTAGAGTTAGGATTATGTTTTCCAATGTGCATTACTCTGCATTTATCAACATTGAATTTCATCTGTCATTTCGTTGCCCAGTCACTCAGTTTTGTGAGATCCCTTTGTAACTCTTCGCAGTCAGTGTTGGACTTAACTATCTTAAGTAATTTGTTATTGTCTGCAAACTTTGCCACCCGGCTGTTTACCCTTTTTTCCAGATGATTTATGAATATGTTGAACAGCATAGGAGCCAGTACAGATCCTTTGGGGACACCACTATTTACCTCTCTCCACTGTGAAAACTGTCCATTACTCCTAATCTTTATTCCCTATCTTGTACTCAATTACTGATTCATGAGGGGACCTTCCTTCCTATCCAATGACTGCTTTACTTCTGGGGAATTCTTTGCCAAAAATTAAAAATTCTGCATCAAAAAATTAAAAGTTTTGCATACAATATTGTAAAATTCTGCAAATTTTATTTGTCAAAATAATACTACATAATCACGCCAGTTTCAATTATTTTGTTTATTTCAAAACTAGGGTGACCAGATGTCCCAATTTTATAGGGACAGTCCCGATTTTTGGGTCTTTTTCTTATATTGGCTCCTATCACCCCCCACCCCCTGTCCTGATTTTACACATTTGCTGTCTGGTCACCCTATTTCAAAACACCTGTCAGCAAGTATGTCTCTAACAACACAGACACATACAAGAATTCCCTCAGGAGTAGAGTGTTAAAGAAACACCTATGACCAACCCAGTTCCTGTTTCTCTGCACCCACCCCCATCCAAGAGCCCAGCCGGGAGGGCAGCCACCAACAACCCCTCCCCCAGAGTCCACACACAGGGCCCCCCGCAGTCAATACACCCAAACCTCCTTCCCCTCAAGCCTAGCCGTGCCCCCCCCAGCCCAGACACCAGCCCCCCTCCCTCCCAGAACCCAGCCATGTCCCCCCCCAACCCAGACACCAGCCCCCCTCCCTCCCCGAATGCAGCCGCGGCTCCCCCAGCAAAGACATTAACCCACTCCCTCCCAGAACCCAGCTGCCCCCTAGTGGCGACCAGCAGCACTGCAGTTCGTTTCTGTGGGGGAAAGGAAATTCTGTGCAAAAACCATTAATTTCTGCAAAATTCTGCATTGCACAGTGGTGCAGAATTCCCCCAGCAGTACTGCTTACTTTATGTAAGAGCCTTTGGTGTTTGCCCTTTTCAAAGGCTTTCTGAAAATCCAAGTACACTGTATCAATTGGCTCACTCTTGTCCATATGCTTGTTGACATCCTCAAAGAATTCTAACAGACTGGTGAGGCATGACTTCCCTTTACCAATGCCATGTTGACTCTTTCCCAACATATCATATTTATCTTTGTATCTTATAATTCTGTTCTTTACTATATTTCAACCAATTTGTCTACTGCTGAAGTTAACAAGTTCTTTGAAAAGAAGCCAAGATAAAGTAGAGCAGTTGTGCATATACTAAGCTAGTCTTAACTGTCCATCATGATAAACTCTTGGGAGTGAGAGATGCACAAAAGGTAAATATCTTACCTTAGTAAGAAATTCAAAGTAGAAAAAGTGAATAGTAAGCTATAGTGAATGAGTTTAACACTCTGGTTTCTATTCATAAATAGATATATACATGAGGGAAGAGAAAGAAATTCACATATATTTACACAGAAAAGGGAGAAAAGTGACCAAATCATGTAAATAGATCCCCTAATTAATACTTACTGCTCACATCTTAGCTTCCCTTATTTCTGCAGCTACAATGTTTTTCCAGCTGTAGATTGTTAAGACAGTATCTTGCAGCTGCAGTGCACAGCCAAGCCCCAGAGGAAGAGCCAGAATAGGCAATCTTGGTGGTATTTCTTTTTTAAAAAGAGAAACTTTGAAATCACGTGTAAGACTATTTCTGTCAAGGACATCAAACTTGCAAAACTTAGCAGATTCACTGCATAGCTCAAGTTAAGCAGCACTCTATATCCCTATTCTGTTCAAGTTCTTATACTGTGCCCTCACCATGGTATCTGAGCACTTGTGAGTGATGAATTAAGTGGTGTGACTGGTATCTGTCATGTACGGTGACTTTCCCACTCCTCTGCTCTTTCCAGCAGGGAAAAAGGTGTAAGGATTTGTCTTTGTTTGTTATGAAGCACTAGGTTTTTATTACAGAAGGCCAGGTTGAAGAATTGTGCTTTGCACTTGGAACTGAAAGTAGTGAGCTTTGGGGTGATGCTTTAGAGAAAAACCATACAGCAAATCTGTAAAATTACAAAGGAGGTATATAAACCCCTTTATGCTATTTGTGGGCTCCTCTTGCTCTTGCATGTTGCATTAACATTTGGAAGTCAGAAATCCTGACTCTATGGGCAATGGTCTTCAGTTTCATTTTTGCTTGTTCAACTTTTAGTTCAAAATAATAAAAGCCTTGTGGGACAAGGCTCCCTTTTCATTGTTCTTGGTGTGCCTTATGGAAACTCCCTATAAGATTTCTAAAAATGGTTTAAGAAATTCACAGTAATGAATACCACCTAATTAGAGGTAGGCAAAAATTCACTAGCTACTCTCTGGGAGAGTTTTTTATTTTCAGCCCTTCCTACAGCCAAATTCTATTTTTTTTAAAAGTCAATCGATTGAGATTCCTTAAAGGAATTAAAGGAAAAAATTAAGAGGAGGGAGATAAGAAATCACTATTTAAGATGAAGGTTTAAAGAAGGCAAATATTATGGACTGAGAGTACATAGTTAGAGCTAAATTCAGACCAGTTTTAAGCAGATATAACTCCACTGTGATCAGAAATGTTACATCCCTTTGCACCAGGTAGATGTGAATTTTGCCTTTGAGAGCTCAGTTCTATGGCCAATACGCCAATATATAGCGATACTGTAGTTTCTTTTGATGATACATAGTGATCCTCACTCTGTACTAAAAGGCATCACTGAGAAAACAATTATTTTCACAGAATTAATTAAAGGAAATAGGTATACCAAGGTATGCCCCATCCTCTGCCCCCACTTTTCTTTAGCTAGCTGGTGTAATGCAGTCACAAATATTATTGTAGATATAACCTAGAGTTGAAAAATAAAAGCTCCATAGCTGAGTAAGCCATGCAAAAGAGGGTGGGAAACTGACAATGGAAATGAGCCACCTGGCAGCTGATTAAATAGCAACCAAAAATTAATACAGGTAGTTCTCCTCAAACTGTTTAAATTGTCACCACCCTACTTAGCAAACATAGGTACAGGAGATTAGTACTTCAGCAGTCATTTAGGGCTGTTTGTGTGCAGCCAGATATGGATCTTACCATCATGTCGGCTGGGAGAATCACATCCTTTCTGTGGAGTTGCCACTCGAAGGAATATCTGTTGTCTCCATGAATGCCGGCGAGTCCTTACAGGGGTGTCATTGCCAACATCCAGCTGGCTTTGTTTAGACTCATAGTCACTAAAATTACAGAGTACAGAATGTCTTATGAATAAGTTATGACAGACACAAGAGTCGTCTAATGACATTGAAGTGTTAGGTTTCAGGGGACATAAAAACCAAAGCTATCAAGGAAGGAAGGCTGTGTCCCCCACACATGCTTGGTCAGCATCCATGTGTTAAATGGGTGAAATTCACCCCATTGCTGCAGGCCTGCACAAGGTCATATGTATCACTCAAGTTAGTGATTGGGCATATGGCTTTGTGCAGGGTTTGCTTTCCAAGATTTAATGAACTTACTGTCAACATTTTACAATTTATTTTGTGATAATACCTAAATACACACAATGTGTAGCAGGTGTACATACAGAACGGTGAAAACAGTGCATATACACACTAACAAACCTTTACATTATTTGTTAACAGCACTTTTCATTTCTCTAATGCCTTTAATTAGTGGATCTCAAGGAGCTCTATTAACATCAGTTAAAACTCTCAACTCCCTGTGAATTAGATGCATATCATACTCCTTTTTCATATACATAAAATAAGTAACATAGAGGTTAAGTGACTTTCTCCAAGTCACACTATAAAAATCAGTCACAGAGCTAAAAATAGTCCCCAGAAACTGGCCTTATATTCCTTTGGTCTAATTGATAGGCTTCACAAAGAGCGTTTTGTTAAAATTCAGAATTAAATAATGAACAACAATGATATCTGTCCATTTAAAAATCCCACTATTACCTCTTCTAGGGACTCAAATCATTCTTTATTTTTCTTTTCAGCTACCATGGATTGAGAGTGTTGAGGGAATTTGTGTTGAATGCTGAAGGGGACAAATAAGCTTCAAAGAGCACTGGTAGTAACTGATTTTCTAGGCCAGGAACCATTTCAATAGGCTCATTCCAGCCTGAGAACATTGATGTACTGTGGGATGTATCCTGTATTTTCTTAATGGTGAACTGGTAATATGGATATGCCCCTTTGGGCAGGAGTAGTCAGATAGTGGGAATTAAAGTTGTATTATCACAACATCTGGGTTCAGAAATGGACAGCAGATCCATAGTCATTTTAGAACAGAAACCATGGTAACCTCCCGACCTTTGATGGCATCCTCATTTAGCTTACTTCATCTATTACATGCAAGTGAATGATAAATTATTAATGCATAAAGTGCTCTCAAAATTAAAACAAAGAATCCTTTGAATGATACAGTTTTATCTCCAGGCTTAAAGATAGAACCCTACCTTTTTGCGCTCCTAAAGTCAGAGGTGTTATTTTCATCTACAGGAGCCAGAAATTTTAAGAAATTTGGCACAGAGGAGGAAGAATGAAGCTTTTTCCGTAGGGCAATATGGTAGGAGATGCTGAGAGTGCAGTTGGGAAAAGTGCAGTTTAGAATGAGGAAGTGTAAATATGCAGAATAAAAAAAAATACACAGTGCAAGCTTCAAAACAAAAATACTTTCAGGCATGAATACCAAGGAAAATAAAGTAAAAACTAAAATTGTGTAACAAGTTCTACTCTGAAATCATATTTGGGTCACCTAACTGTTCCGGTATTAATATACTTTAATAAATTAATTATCTGCTATGTTCAAGGATTCATCACCCATGTTTTGACTATATTTATTTAATCCTGTAAGAATTCATGGCTATTCTATAGCCAAACAACTGCTAAAATTGGTAGGTACATGTTCCAGTGTCCTACATTTTTGGAGGGGTGGGGGTGGAAAAAAGTTGACATTTCTGTAACTGGTATGGGGAGGGAGGGCAGCAACTGAATAAGCTGACTATGCAAAAGTGCCTACTAACATAGTAACTTTCACACAATAGAATTTTCAGCATCTGATTGTCTGGGTTTGTTATTCTTGTGTGACAGACAGAAGCACCAATCAAATCTCACTAGAAGCATTTCAGCAAATATAACTCTTGTTCCGAACCTTTGTCTCCTAAACTACCTACATGAAGCTCCTACGGCACTCAGAGGAACATTAATGGGTAGTGGTTTAACAAAAGCAGCTGAGTTAATGACAATTTCTGTCTGGAATGGAAGCTGATAAAGTCATCTGGTGTGTGGTAACTAAAAGGTAACATTGCTAAGAACTAAGATATCATACCAAAATACGCTACTTGGGGTGGGTTATTCTGTATGGGTCTCTGTAAGTTTCTCTTGTTGAAGCTGTTCCACTTTGTATAAAACACTTGAATAGTCATTGAGCTAGAAAGAATTATTCTATAGCCTGGTGGTTAGAACGCTCGCTGGGAAGGTAGGAGACCCAAGTTTATGACCCTACTCCAATGATGAATTATTTATACACAATGGGACAGATTCAGCATGAGATTGAGATCCCCCACACCAGAATATCCCATAACCCAATGGCTAGGATGCTCTTCTGCAATGTTGGAGACACAAGAACAAATCTCTTTTCCACAACAGGCAAAAGGGGGAATTGAACGCTGGTCTCCCACATTCCAAGTGCGGGCCCTAGCCACTGTGATAAAAGTTATAAAGGGAGGCCATGGCGACACCTCTTCCCCATCTCTTTCTGTTTTGTGAATGGTGCCTAGTCCCAAAAGAAAAAATGTTTTGACTGAAACTATTTAGTGAATTCACATCAAAGTAACAAACAGTTTCAGGTTGATTAAAATTGCATTTTTGGTGAATAAATTATTCATCCAAAAAATTTCACCCATCTCTAGTTTTAGGGAGCAGGGGTCTTCTCACCATAAGGTGAAACGGCAGAGTGAGTAGCCCTGTCTGTAATTTTCCTCTCCAAAAATGCTTTGGCTATAAGGGCAAGAATATCAAACTATCACTTGATATTGGGAGAGTGATAGCTCAGTGGCTTAAGCATTGGCCTGCTAAACCCAGGGTTGTGAGTTTAATCCTTGAAGGGGCCATTTGGGGATTGGTTCTGCTTTGAGCAGGGGGTTGGACTAGATGACCTCCTGAGGTCCCTTCCAACCCTGATATTCTATGGTGCTGAATAACTCTCTACAAGTCAGACTTTTATTACCCTTTTCACCTGGTCAAATTTCCAACTCTTAGCAAGTCACTTTCTCCCTCTCCCCTTTTCAACCACAAAGGAGCAGGGACCAGTATCAGTGTTACTTTGAACAAGGCAGAGAGTGAAACTGAAAAATTCTGGCGAAACAGAGAGAGTGAGAGAGTCCTTGGCATCGAAGCTCAGGCACAGTTTAACCAGCACTGCTTTCTGATTCATCACAAGAGCAACTGACCCCAACATATCAGCTGTGTGTGAGAGCACCTGAAGTAATTTCATTCAGTCAAAATGAAAAATTAGATCAAGTGCCCTATGATAAAATGCACTGCTACAAAATGTTAGGAGAGGAGTTTACTTTCCCCTCATGTAAACACATGCCCTCTGGTAGGATTGTATTAATAATTATTATTTAGTATTAATTATTATTATTATTCAGTCACTGTGCACATAGTGAGTGAGGATAATGCAGTGTTGTGTGTTTATGGTACAATAAAACAAACACTCCCAAAACTATATACAGCTGCTATCTCACCTCTTTTGTGCAACATGCCCACATTGTTCTCTGCTTGAATTATGCTTTAGATATTTTAAAAAAGTGGGAGAAGAGGCCGAGGGATTAAGACGAGCTAGAGGAGAGGGAGAAGAAGATTGACCAGAACAGCTTTCAGACTCGCCAACAGATGTGCTCAAACTGAACAGTGGGATTCCAGCCATATGGGAGGGATGAGGTAAGAAAGAGAGAGAGAACAAATCTCAGAAACAGAGAAAAATGAAATGAGATTGCTTATCTAGCCTCATTTTAAAATGTCCTACTACTGCCAGATAACAATTACATAAATTTCTGATTTACAGCTCTAGCTGCAAGGCACTGAGCACTGTAACCTAATCCAGCAAAGTACAGAAGTGTTTGCTTACAGGCCCTGATTCAGCAGGGTACTTAAGCACATGCCTGTGGAAACTACCTCTAAACCAGGGGTAAGATTTTTCAAAGGAATCTAAGTAATTTACTAATCTAAATCTCATTGAAAGTTATTGGGATTTGGGCCTAAATCCCTTGGGCTCTTGAAAATTTTATCCTACACATTTTTCTGAGAGCTCCATTTTCCCAACATCGTGTACTTATTGCTTTTATTAGCTTGCCGTAGTATACCACTAAGGGCCCAATCCTTTGAGGATTAAGTGCTCTCAGCTGCTCCCACTGACGTCCTAGGATGGGACCAAAACAGGAATGGCAAAGGAAATTAAACATATATTCAACGTTTAGCTATAGTCCCACAGTAAAATAGGAATGAACTGAGAAAGCAGAAGCAAGTAGAAAGTTTTAAGGAGGCACTTGTAAAGTTAAACCAACAAGTGCTAAATTGCACCACAAAAGCCATTTAGCATTTAAGGAACAAACAGGGTCAAAGAAGAGACAAAAAGGCAACTCAGGTTATGTTTCCTTTTAAATAACAAAATTCTCTTTTTTCACTGTCATCATCTCTCTCAAGCATTTACCTTTACCACTCTGCCTTCTGCAGGAAAAGTGAGCCAGCACAGAGACAGATTTACTACTGTCTAACTTGTGTAAACCAGCAGTTTTGGCAGAGAAACAGAAGTCTACAGACAAGAATGTTTCCACAGTAACTGGAAAAAGCCAGAGAGAGAGGGAGGGTGAGGGGTGGTGGAGGGGAAGTCCCATAAAGCTTAGTGAGATTTCACGGATGTGTAAGCAAGCCCTTAAAGGAGGACATCTGAAGAGTATTAGCAAGAAGACTATTAAAAATTTATTTTTGTTAGTGAAACTTTGCAGCTTAATGAAGAATTGCTTTTATTGCACTGGCTGGTTAAAACTGGACCAGGGTCTGTCCTCTGACACCGATTAGAGGATTTTATAATTTTTTAAACAGGATTCCTCTTCATAAATATGAAATAGAGAGGCACCACAAGAACCAGCTATTATTTAGACTGCTTTCAGATACACCCAGCAAGAACTATTTCACATTAGTTGCACAGGCAAACTAATCTCTCATCATCCACTTATATCATGCTTGTGTAGTAAAATGGCTTTCTGACACTTACTGTGGAATTGCAAGTTTCAGGTTTCATCTCCCTCCTTGAACAATACCAAATGAGCAGAGAAGATGCTCTTAAATATAACGTGTTTTAAGCGGATGACACACTGCTCTAACGCTAAGCATTACGTTTCTCTTTTGCTAAATGAACATACCTGATATGCAATGAACATCCCATAATTTGCCCCAAATATCTATCAAACAATATCCTGCTTTTAAAATGAGTCTTACTTTCGCCTGTGAGGAGTCTCTGTGCTCACTGAATGATACCTCATAAGTTTCCTTTGTGGAACAGATGGTGATGTTTCAACTGGTTCCAAAGATTCCAGGTATTCGATAGGCAAGTGACTCAATGTGTTTGCTCGCCGGCGAAAGCCTTGCTGAGGTAATTTATCAGGCTGCTCGATGGGGTGACTAACTGGGTCACTGGAGACATCTCCCACAGATCCATTGGTCTTGGCAGGAGTCTCTGGAAGTGGGCCTTCTTTTTCACACAAAGATGGTTCCTAGCAATATAAAAATATTTACCCATGTAAAATATGATTTATAAATAATAATTTGAGGTTCTCTATCTCAGGCCTATTTTTTGACACAATAAACAAATCTCCTTCCTGCTACAAAGACATTTATTTCTAAACTTTTAGTCCCAGCTGAACATTTCCTGAAAATAAATACAGTCCAACACTTACAAGCTTTCCTGCCTAAACTCAGGCACCCAAATAAGAGTGGCTGAGATTTTCAAATAGTGTTGAGAACCTGCATCTCCCAATATGCTGGTGGAAGCTCAACAACTCTCCAAGTCAGGCAACTCTTATTTAGATACCTAACTTTAGACACTATAGTTTGAACATTTAGGCCATGGTATCTCACACAATGACCTAACCTTTAATGTTTCATTACTAATCAGCAAGGCAGACACATGCTATTATATTTATGCTTTATAAAGGGAAAAAAGGCTGAATAATAGTTATCCTCAACACTTTGAAGAGGAAAACCTGAGACAAGAAAGGGGCAAATGAATATATGGTATGTTATTGTCATGAAAGCTGCAATGTAAAAGGAAGCATTTCAGACTACACAGAATCCATTTACATTGAAGATTTAACATAAAACTGCACTTTTTATTGGATCTTTTTCTTTAAAAAAAAATCATTCATGATTACAAATGCAGATGCATGAGTCTATCTAGGTACTCATATTGACCCTATGCCCATTGTATCTGAGCTCCTCACAAATAATGAATTTATCTTCACAACAAACCTGTAATGGAGAACTGAGGCACAGGCACACTAGGAGTGGAACTGTGGCCCACTCAAGTCAGGACTTATTCAAGGTCACATAGGACGCTTATGACAGAACCAACAACTGACCTTAGTCTCCTGACTGGTCAGTGGCCATACCACAAGACCATCCTTCCTCTCTGCTTCATATTTAACTTATTTTACTAGACTCTCAAACCATACCATCAATATATAAATTCTTTACATTTAGATGTTTAATTCTATAGTCCTTATGAATGTACAACTCCCACTGAAATCCAAAAATTTGCGTTTACTTTCAGTGATGTTAACTAATCACCACATTGGAATCAACAGTCCTGAAGCTAACGCATCATTTATGTTCATTGTTGCAATCTCAGAGAATGAATAATTGCCCAAATTGGGCCCACTAACCCCATCTTTTCTTAGCACCAGGAAAGAAATAATTTATAATCAAAATGCCTAAAGACAGCCTAAAATTTCTGAAAAAGAGAAAGTGACATGGAGATATCAGTTCACATCTCTTGGAGAAGCTGCCAGGATAAGAAATTCCATTATGATCTCTCAACATGTTAACTCAAAATTGCTGTTTCTTTATTAGAGAGACAAGGTGAGAGGTAATATCTTTCATTGGACAAATTTCAGTTGGTGAAAGAGAGAAGATTTTGAGGTACACAGAGCTCTTCTTCAGGTCTGGGAAAGGTACTTAGGCTATGTCTACACTGCACATCTTACAGAGACGGCTGTGTCGCTGTAAGATACGCGGTGTAGCTGCTCTTTGTCGGCAGGAGAGAGTTCTCCTGCTGACAAAATAAAACCACCCCCAAAGAGGAGCGGTAGCTCTGTTGGCGGGCAAAGCACTGTCCACTCCGGCACTTTGGTAAAACTTTTGTCGGTCGGCGATGTGAAAAAAACACCCCTCTGACTGACAAAAGTTTTACTGATGAAAGTGTGGTGTAGACATAGCCTTTGAGTGTCACAGCTAAACAAGGTGGAGCAGATTGTTTAGCACAAGTAATTAGCACATTATGAGAGACCATTCAATGTGAAGTGGCACATTACCACCCACGCAGTCACAGGACAAAAAAAAGAGGGTTTCAGTTTGTTGTAATAAACCATAAACCCACTGTCTTTATTTAAATAATGATTTTTAGTGTCTAGCAAAGTTATGAATTTAAGCTCCCAGGCTCATGTTTTGAAGGTGTTGTGCAGGTTTCCTTTAAGGACAAGGACTGAAAGATCAGATGTGGAGTGTTTGTTTTGTGAAAAGTGTTCGCCTAAGGGTGATACAGTATTTTTGTCTTTTATGATTTTTCTGTGTGAGTTCATTCAAGAGCTTAGGTCTGGTCTTCACTATGTTGCTCAGGGGATGTGAAAAATTCATACCCCCCATGAGCAATGTAGTTATGCCGACCTAACCTCCCAATGTAGACAGCACTATGTTGGTGGGAAAGCTTCTCCCATTGACATAGCTACTGCCTCTCGGGGAGGTGGATTAACTACGCCAGCAGAAAAGTACTTGCCATTGCTCTTGTAGACGTGCCATTAGTAATTATCTGGTTTCACCCATATAGTGATTATCGGGGCATTTAATGCAGTGGATGAGGTACACCACAAACTGTGATAGCAATTTGTAGGACTCATGGATCTTAAAAGGTGTGTTGTGGGGGGCATTGATCATTGTAGCAGTGGAAACATGTCTGCAGGTTTTGCATCTGCTGTTATGGCAGGGTCTGGTGCTGCTTTGAGTTGGTGGATCCTGGTCAGTGGACAGCTTGCTTCTGACGATTAGCTTGACAAGGTTGGAGGGGGCGCTGTTTGAAGGCATGAAGAGAGGGTTTGGAAAAGATTTCTTTCAGGATGTGGAACCCATTGAGTATGGGTTGTTATTATTTAATGATAGCCCATAGGGGTTCCAGTGTGGGGTGGGTCTCATATCCAAGGATGTGGTTTATGATCATACCATTGCTCAGGGGATTCAGATGCATTTTAATGTGGAGTGCACACCTGAGTTGGTTACACTCATTTCTTAAGTTGCCTGCAGCAATGGGGTGAGCAGAAGGCAGAATTTAGGCCCTGATGTTGCAAGCTGATATCATGGGCAAAGCATCATTGACTTCTATGTGGCTCTGCATGGGTCTAAGGATCTGCCCTCTGGGCCAGCATGCAAGAACAGAGCTCCCCTTGGTAGGGAAAAAAAACACATTCTTAGCAGCAAACTCTATCATATTACTCGTATAGCTACATTTTTTCATGTCTGGTGTTTTGTTTTTCTTCCCACACAATCAATCGGATTTTTTATTCATGAATTCATGAAAAAATAACAAATATAAGACATTAAAATAGACTGATTACACCTACACATCACATGATTGTAAATAATTTTACAAAAAAAGTTATCGGAAGATTCTCAATTTATTCAGTCATTATGGTGATTACTTACTTTACTTGTGCTGCTTAATGTACTGGATAAGGAGCTGTCCAAATCCACACTTCCAGAACTTTCTAGTGAACCTCTGGCTTTACTACCCTTTAGAAATAAAGTATATGAAGCAATCAGAATTAGAACACAAAAAATTGCATTCCAACAGAACATCCTTGCTGGAATTGTTAAATCACTGATTCTGCCAGTATCAAATTCAATTTCCTGAAATGCCTAAGAATAACCAGCCTCTCCACAAGAAACAGGTGCTTCCTTCAGGAAGGCCACAAATATTGTAAGGACCCTAGCAATTAATACACTCATGTAGGTCAAGTTATTTTTTTTTCCAGCCAGGATTGCTGTTGGCAGCATCATATCCTACAAAATATATATGTGGAAAGGGTTTGAATAATCATGTGCTTGAGACTGAATTACAACTATTATTACAGCACCTCCCTCAGACCATAAAATGAATTTTCACATTAGGCTATCTCCATCATAATGCAAAGATAGGAATTGACTAGTACAGAGGACTGAAGACTACATCAGCACACTGGACTCATGTAGACTTTCCCAACAAACATCACCTCTGTTATACTGATTTGCATGTCTCTAGATCAGAGTGAAAATCCATAGAGTTTGGTACAATCTCTTGGACTGCAGCCTTATTAGGTTACCCAGAGGAATGCATAGAAACCTGATAATGGGTAGCTATGCAGCTGTATTTCTATGGAGCAAACATGCTCTTGACCACAGGCAGCTAATAGTTGGCTTATGTTCTGAAGCACAAAGTTTAAAGTTCTGTATGAAATTTTATTCCAGCTGCAATAGAGTAATTGTTGACATCATCATTACCATGAATAATTAATATTCTTTTTCTGAATCTTACTAACCTTTTTGCTTCAGGACTGTCTATGCTTAAGGTTTATCAATCTAGTTATATTGATCAGGGGCGTGATTTTTTTACTGACATAGCTATGCCAATAAAAGCCCTAATGTAGATGCAGTTATATTCACAGAATCATAGAAATTCGGGGCTGGAAGGGACCTCAAGAAGCCATCAAGTCCAGTACTCTGCACTAAAGCAGGACCAAGCTTGACAAGGTTGGAGGGGGCGTTCTTTGAAGGCATGAAGAGAGGATCTGGAAAAGATTTCTTTCAGGATGTGGAACCCAGGGCCGGCTCCAGGCACCAGCGAAGGAAGCAGGTGCCTGGGGCGGCATGTCCGGGTCTTCCGCAGCAGGGAAGGACCCGCCTCCGAATTGCTGCCGAAGAATGGAGTGGCACGATTGAGCTGCCACCGAAGTGCCGCCAATCGGCTTTATTTTATTTATTTATTTGTCCCCCACTTGGGGCGGCAAAAAAGCTGGAGCCGGCCCTGGTGGAACCCATTGAGTATGGGTTGTATTGTTTAATGATAGCCCATAGGGGTTCCAGTGTGGGGTGGTAGTCTCATATCCAAGGATGTGGTTTATGATCATACCATTGCTCAGGGGATTCAGATACATTTTAATATGGAGTGCACACCTGAGTTGGTTGTGAACCAAGTAAACCTAGACCATCCCTGACAGGTGTTTGTCCAATCTGTTCTTAAAAACCTCCAACAAAAGGGATTCCACAATCTCCTTTGGAAGCCTATTTCAGAGCTTAACTACCCTGACAGTTTGAAAGTTTTCCCTATTATCTAACTTAAATCTTCCTTGCTGCAGATTAAGCCCATTATTTCTTGTCCTACCTTCTGTGGACATGGAGAACAATTGATCACCGTCCTCTTTATAATGGCTCTTAACATATTTGAAGATGGTTATCAGGTCCCCCCCTCGGTCATCTTTTCTCAAGACTAAACATGCCTAGTTTTTTTAACCTTTCCTCATAGGTCAGGTTTTCTAAACCTTTTATCATTTTTGTCGCTCTCCTCTGGACTCTGTCCAATTTGTCCACACATTTCCTAACATGTAGCACCCAGAACTGGACACAGTACTCCAGCTGAGGCCTCACCAGTGCCAAGTAGAGTGGGACAATTGCCTCCTGTGGCTTACATATGACTTTCCCGTTAATACACCCCAAAATAATGAGTATTTTTTGCAACTGCATCACATTGTTGACACACATTCCATTTGTGATCCACTATAACCCCCAGATACTTTTGAACAGCACCATCACTTAGCCAATTATTCCCCATTTTGTAGTTGTGCATTTAATTTTTCATTCCCCAGTGTAGTACTTCGCACTTTTACTGAATTTCATCTTGCTGAATTCAGACCAATTTGTTAAGGTCACTTTGAATTCTAAACCTGTCCTCCAAAGTGCCTGCAACCTCTCCCTGCTCGGGGTCATCTGCAAATTTTATAAGTGCACTTTCCACTCTATTATCATATTGGTGCAACATATCCGTCCACAATTTGTACTTATACCAATATAGCTTATGCCAGTCAGGCACTTTTACACCGACATAGCAATGTCCACAAGAGGATTTTATGGCAGAGCTCTTCAGATGTTATCATATGTTGTGTAAGGGCACATTTCTTTTATCATAGGCCAGTCTATATGATAAACTTTTGCTGGGATAGCTATGTTGGTCGGGGAGGTGATGAAGTGTGATTTGTAAGCAAAAAATTTCCAGTGTAGACACAGTTATCCTAGCAATACTGTGATTTTGCTGGGAGAGCTTAGTTTGCTTCAGGGTGGGTAGCTGTAATAAACTACGCTGGTAAAAGTGCAATTTTGCTACTATGAACTGCATCCATGCTAGGAGTACTTTGCCAGTGCAGTATACAGGGAGAGCTAAATTGGCAAAACACTTCTAGAGTAGACCTGCCCTTAATTTAACTGAATATCTTCTTGCCCTTGTATTATGAGAGAGGATAAATGGCACTCCATGATAAATCTTCTCTACCATTCATTGTTTTGTAAAATTTATCTTGTCAACTTTTATCCATCACCTCTCCAAACTAAACGGCCCTGAATGTTCAATCTCACTTCATATAGAAATCTTTGCAAGCCCCTAATCATTCTTGTTAGACCATTTTCTGGACATTTTCCACTTTGTATTATATCCTTTTAGAGACCAAAATAACAGTATCCAGACAGAAGGGATTCCACAGGTTTAAGTGGTGGCATTATAATCTTTTCAGTATTTTTCTCTGTTCTTATCCTAATACAACCTGATATCTTATTTGTTTTTTTAACTGCCTTGGTGTATTGAGCAAATATTGCCAGCCATCTGACCATGATATGTGGATCTTTGTCCAGTGTGTTTACAGGTACACCTCTACCTGGATATAATGCGACCCGATATAACACGAATTCGGATATAACACGGTAAAGCAGTGCTCCGGGCGGGCGGGGCTGCGCAGTCTGGTGGATCAAAGCAAGTTCAGTATAACGCAGTTTCACCTATAACGCAGTAAGATTTTTTTGGCTCCCAAAGACAGCATTATATCGAGGTAGAAGTATAATTGAGAGACCATCAGTGTGTAAAGGTTCAAAGAGTTCCTTCCAATGTTTATCACCTGCCACTTGTTTACACTGAATTTCATCCTCCATCATATTGTCCAAATAACTATCTCTGTAAGCTCCTTCTGAAGTTCATACTAATCTTCTCTAGGCCTGACTTACAAATAATTCTGTGGTATCTACAGATTTTTGCCACCACATTGTTCACCCCCCCCCCATGTCATTAATAAATATTATTTTAAAAATCTGCCCTATTAAAGGTCCTTGGTCAACCCACTATTAATTTCCTTATGTTAAAAATTGAACAGATTTTTCTATTTCTCTTAACCAGTTTCTAAATCCATGAGAGAATTTTACTGCTAATGCCATAACTGCTTAGCTTCCTTTATAGCCTCTTGTGACGTTTTTGAAAAGTCCATATAAAAATATTTACTGCTTCTTTATCCACTAATTTGTTCTTTTCTTCAGTCTTAGAAAGGTCTGATTTTCATTACAAAGCCCAAGTTCACCTAAGTATTTCTAGAACTCTCTTTAATAATTGTTCAATTTTTCCTGGAAGGAAACAAAAGTAGATGTAGACTGTGTCTATCGCTCAAAAAAAGTCAATACAAAGACAATACCTACCCGTGACAAGATACTTTCTAATGATTCTGTTAGTGACCGTTTAGCTTTGCTCTTCAACATATCTAGTCTGAACCTGGAAGCACTGTTTGGCATCTCATTTCCAGTAGTCTCTCCACAAGGCTGTGAAGCCTATAATATTTAAGAAAGCAGGTGTAAAATACAGGGTTGTACAGAACAAAAACTCACTGAAAGATTTTTGACATCTTAGTAGCACATTTCCAAGCTTTTCTAAACCTATACTAAGCTCTGAATCCTCTCATGCATTGTGTTTCTACTGACATAACAGCGCTGAAGCTTATTGAGTTAACCTACTACTAGATCTAGGAATCTCTTTTCCAAATGACATTTATTTGTTAACTGAAGTAAGTGAGCACCAGGAATATTGTATTTCATAACAAAAATATGTCTCTTCACATGTTTACCTCAATGGCGGAGCACAATTATATCATCTGTAAGTACAAGAGGAATAGATTCAGGATGCAATGGGGAATTATTTATCTTAACTCCTCAGATTAGACTTGACCAATTTATTTATTTTATTTTTCACGGCAATCGTCTCCTAGGACTTTGAATGAGTTAGCTGCAAGAACGTATACCACTCCTCCAACTCCATTCCTTCGAACGCAAGGTGCACTGAGGTCCAGGAAGACATGCAATATTTAACTCTTGCATATATATATATAGCACCACTAGGAACACTTCCACATTATGGATGACAGTCAACTCATAGCTGATTTTTTTTTTTTTTTTAGTTAAAAGTTTAAGCTCAATTTTAGTGCTTGTGAAAGTCGGACAGCTCTGGAAACTGAACACAGAATGGGTATAGCACGACAGAAGTGGGAATGGAGGGATAAATGTTGTGCCTCAAACCTAACCTAGTCTTATCAACTATATAGACCAAAGAGTAATTCTCTGTGTCCATTAAATCTTGAACTTTTCTCTTGAGTCTCCCAACATTAGTGCCAGATATACACAGTGGTAACAGTATCAGAGATGTGAATGCATTAGACCAGTTGATATCACATGGACAAGTGAACAGCTCTCAGACAGCAATAAGTTTTGGTCATTACCAATCCAGGCTGTTGACAGTTCCAACAAAATGACACTACATCCTATTTCCAATCCCCCAAACAAAGAATTCAGTCTTTTCCCTCTAACTCAACTCTCCTCAACCCTACATAGTAAGTCCTTGCAGTTTTCTGGTGAAAAACACTTATTTTGAAAAGACTTATTGGTTCAAAAATATTAATGTTCTATGAAATCTCTTGCAGCTGTTTAAATTTAAATTCTTCCAATTTAACAGAGAACTTGAGTAGGATTCCTCACCCAGAAAGCAAGTGTGAGTAGCAATGCAGGAGAGAAGGCAAAAAAAATTCAGGGTGTTTGGGTTATTCATCTTTGAGAGATGAAGTCCAAAGGTATTTACTGTTCCACAGCTCTGAAGATAAAAGATCAAAGTAGATATGACATTTTCTACTAAGAAGAATGTTTGGGTGAGAGGCAAATCAAGTTTGCTGCTAGAACTTTGGCATCTTTACAAGCGTCAGATTATTATTTTTTGGCTTCAGGAGCATTAAAATCACACACAGTTTTTATATTAAGATATCATCTTCTTCCTTAAACACCCACTTTCCAACTGTTTTGAACCTGAAACTGTTTGATAAAAATAATTGGCACTAATCCCAAATGAAAATATTTCACATCTGTTAACAAAAAACCCCAAACACTATTTCCTTCTGTCCTACCTCAGCCCACACTGCTCTTTCTAAGCCCACACATATCTGGACAGACACGTAAATGACTGGAGAGTTGACAAAAACAGTAAATCAGAAAACAAGAATGTGAAGCTTTCTTCCTGTTTTCTCGGCAATGCTAATAATTAACCAATAAGCAATAAAAGGATAAGAGATTAAAATAAACACAGAGCTAGTCACAAAAAAGTGGGTGATGCCTCTCTAATTACTTCATGCTTTAAATCTGAATACTTAGAGGGAGCAGAGTTCGAGGCCGCTGCACAAAGGGACTTCAATGAATCTGACCCTCGAGTGTGTTCACTGTGTACCTAGCCAGCAGGAGGAGACTGCCTGGAGCAGGCATTACAGTACATTTCCTGCTATTGGTAGATATTGAAAGAAATGTTGACCAAGATTTTCAAAAGTGGCTATGGTTTTGAGTGCCTCAGTTTTGGGGTGCCCAGATTGAGTCACCTTAAAGGGGACTGGTTTTCAGAGGGGTGGTGCTCAGCCTTTTCTATAAAATCAGGCGCCTTTAAGATATTTCAAGTTGGGCACCCCAAAACTGAGAGATTCAAAATCACTAGTCTCTTTTTAAAATCTCATCCATGCCTGAGATCTTTTTAAACCCCTCCTCTGGTGAGAGAGAGGGAGGAGAGGCAAGCTGCTGCAAGGCTAGTGGCAGTAGGGAGATAGGTTTAGTTATTTCCCCTATGGAGAGGAAAGCAGCCTCTCACCCTGGAGAAGCCTAAGTGTCTGTTTAAGGGAAGGACTGACACCCCGGGTCCAACAACATGACAACACACACCCCACAGCAGCGAAGGGGCAGGGAAATGTGTTTGTAATTTTTTTTCCTTTTGCTTGGTGGAGGAGACCCACCTTGGGCCTGCCCTGAGGCCTACATTGAAAATACTGACAAGTAAACACAGAGGGAAGACAAACACTGTCCAGAGCAGAGCTGATTTACCCCAGGCCTTGCCACTGCCAGAGGGGGAAGAGCTAAATCTGGCGAGACGGGGGAGATACCTGGTCACAATACCTGCATTTGAAGGACAATCTGCCCACATTCTTTTCTAGCCATATTGCATGTAAGGTTGGTTACCTCCCAGCTCCTTCAAATTTTTTGGCTATGTCTACACTACGGACCTTAGAGCGGTACAGCTGTAAGATCTCCTGTGTAGCTGCTCTATGCTGGCAGGAAAGAGGTCTTCTGCCAGCATAATTAAACCACTCCTAATGAGTGGCGGTAGCTATGTTAGGAGGAAAGCGTCTCCCGCCGACATAGCACAGTCCACACCAGTGCTTTTGTCGGTGAAACTTTTGTCAGTCGGGGAGTGTTGTTTTCACACCCGATTGACAAAAGTGCTAGTGTAGACAAAGCCTTAAAGACTGAACAGTAGTTTTGTCCTTCCTTTCTCAAGTGTAGAACACTGTCTCCTCTGTCAGTTCTGCAGCAATGTTTAACAACAACCTCTGTTTGCATCAGCCTCAATGATATTTCCACACAAACAAAGAAATATCCCCCATATTACCGGGCAACCCCAGCAGTCCTTCCTCAGGATAAATTCCAGTGGGCTTGATTCACCATTGAACTCGACTGGGACTGACAGGGAGCCAGAAAATGAGAGCTGAGTCTTTTTGAAATTACACATATATGCTTCAGCTGTAATTAGTAACTGTGACAGAATGTAGTATTTTCATATGAATGTTTTCTATATCCACTGTATTGAGAAGATAAGAACAGACTAACTGCAAAGACCAGTGGTCCAGCTAGACTGGTACCAGCCAGTACCAGATGCTTCAGAGGAAGGTGCAAGAGACTCCATAGCGGACAGTGCAACTAGTGGTTTTCTTATGCCCCAAAGCATAAGGGTTTATATCCTTTCCTCCCTTGCTATTAGCACATGGGATACAAGCATATTCTGACTGGACTTTCTCTGCCCACTGCTGAGTGGCTGTTGCTCCAACCCTCCAGCTCTCCCTCCCTCAGTGATTCCACTTCAGCTTCACTACACACCTGCCCCTCCTTCCCCTGGCTTTCTCTGCCCTGTCCCCCTCCACTTCACTTTCTTTCCATTTAGAATATCCCCTCCTAAGTAAACTCACCCCCAAAAAAATCATGGGACTAAAATGACATTTGCTGCCAACCCATTGTTCTCTGCTTCTGTGTTCTACCCCTTTCCCCAAACCTTGTGTCTGTCTTGTTTATTTAGATTGTAAGCCCTTTGGGTCAAGGCCTGTCTTTGTACTGTGTTTGCACAGTGCCTGGCCCAATGGGACCCCACTCTCGGTTGGCTCTTAGGTCCTACTGTAATAAACATGTTAAATAATAAATATTCCACCAGGAAAGAGCAAAGTGGGCTTTCAGTTCAATGTTAATTTTACATTAAATACAAAGATGGAAATTCACCATTGAGAAGTTAGTAGGAAAGGAAAAATACTTTTTTAAATGAAGGCTCACATACCTGCTTTGCTTCCCCAATGTGAACATGATCCTTCTGTTTTTCTTCATACATGTTTCTTAGAATAGCGATAATCAACTCATTCTCTTTCTGATCATTTCTTGGTCTTAATTTCTTTTTAAAAAAACAGACACACGAAAAAATAAGAGTTGCATTCATATAGTAGCTTTAAAATTATTCCCCTCTATTTTAACTTTTGTGATTGCCAGTGTGTAGTTAATGCACACTGAATAGTTTAATCTAGTTGATGCTGCTGTATAATTCCACTAGAGGACACCAGTGATCCAAGCAATGCAGCAACACAGCCAGATAAATATTTTAATGATATTTCACAAATACCACACAGTGCTGTGACTAACAACAGCAGATATCAGCTGCTGAAAGTCACTTGAAGCATATTTTAGAAAGCATAACATTGTCATAGCTAGAACAATTCTTAGTATAAATATCATTTATCAATATGATTCCAAAATAAAATTATAGTTTTACCTCTGTAGTGCATATGTAATATTTCTCTCAGTTATCTGACCGTTTTACTATGGATCCAATTTTCATTATATAAAACTTCATATTTGTAACAAGCATCTCAGCAGAACATGGCAGGTACTTCAAAAATTAAACTTATATTTTAAATCCTGCTATTAGCTTTTAATCCTAAAGTTTTGAAGTAGTTTAAATTAGAAATAAATACCCAGTGCAACTGTTATATTTTGCACAAAAATATTCAAAACATTTAGAAAAAATCATTACAGTTAATTACATTAATTAATTGCAAGTATACCTGCCAATTTAGCTAAATGTTGTTTTGGTTATAGAGATACTCAGTTTTAACCACAAGAGAGTTTAGAATGCATTAATGCACTGGTCCTAAAACAGGTACAATCTATTATTAAGGAACATCAGAGGGGAGACCAGATTAAAATATTTATCTCTGCTTATTCAGATTTCCAACCTAGCCTTTAAGATTATTAGAGGAGAAAATATTTGTAAAATGGTAACTACTGTAGTACGTATCACAAAGATGAAGCTTTTTAAATTCATGTAATTCTCACAATTATACATATAATGTATGTGATATATTATGAGCAAATATCATATGTGACTGGGAGCAACTCTGGTTACGGCAAATATTTTTAGAAAGATAATTATCTCAAAAATGGAAATCAGGAAAACGTATTGAAATCCCAGACCACCAAAATTTGTATTAAAAAAGTGCAAAGAGATGACAGATTTTTTTTGTTATGTTTTATCCAGTGGTTTATTTCTACAGCCTTACAATAAAATAAAAATCATCTTCAATACATATGTTTTAGGGACCTCAATGCAATAAGGCACGCTTAGGTTACAGAAATGCCCAGTCAGCTGAGGCACTAGTGCCAGTTTACCCCAAAATACCCAGGAGTTACTATGTTTCTCAACTGAACTAGATGTTTCATTTTTGGTTCGGCTGACCCAAATCTAAATATTCCAGTTTGTCAAAATGTTTAGTTTTGGATTAGTTCCACATTAAAGTGAGTCTGCCTGAGCTTCCATGTGCCTTATGTTCCCATTCTCATCCTAATAAAACTACTTTTCCCATGATGCATCACAGTCCCAAACTGTTACTTCCGTGAGACACCACAACTCAGCAAGATACAGATTAATGTGAAACTACTCCAAAACCAAACTAGTATGATTTGGTTCAACAAACTGAAATATTTAGATTAAGGCTGTCGATTAATCACAGTTAACTCACGCGATTAACTCTAAAAAATTAATCGCAACTAACAAAATTTAATCACAATTAATCGCAGTTTTAATCGTAGTGTTAAACAATAAGTACCAACTGAAATTTATTAAATATTTTTGGATGTTTTTCTACCTTTTCAAATATATTGATTTCAATTACAACACAGAATACAAAGTGTACAGTGCTCACTTAATATTACTTTTGATTACAAATATTTGCACCGTAAAAATGACAAACAAAAGAAATAGTATTTTTCAATTCACTTCATACTAGAACTGTAGTGCAATCTCTTTATCGTGAAAATGCAACTTACAAACGTAGATTTTTGTTTTGTTACATAACTACACTCGATAACAAAACAATGTAAAACTTTAGAGCCTCCAAGTCCACTCAGTCCTACTTCTCGTTCAGCCAATCGCTAAGAGAAACAAGTTTGTTTACATTTATGGGAGATAATGCTGTGTGCTTCTTATTTACAATATCACCTGAAAGTGAGAACAGGCATTCACCCGGCACTTTTGTAGCCGGAATAGCAAGGTATTTACGTGCCAGATATGCTAAACATTCATATGCCTCTTCATGCTTCAAACACCATTCCAGAGGACATGCTTCCACGCTGTAGATACTTGTTAAAAAAAAAAAAAAGTGTTAATTAAATTTGTGACTGAACTCCTTGGAGGAGAATTGTATGTCTCCTGCTCCATGATTTCACCCGCATTCTACCATATATTTTGTGTTATAGCAGTCTCGGATGATGACCCAGCACATGTTGTTTGATTTAAGAACACCTTCTCTGCAGATTTCACAAAACGCAAAAAAGGTTCCAATATCAGATTTCTAAAGATAGCTACAGCACTTGACCCAACGTTTAAGAATGTGAAGTGCCTTCCAAAATCTGAGAAGGATGAGGTGTGGAGCATGCTTTCAGAAGTCTTAAAAGAGAAACACTCTGATGCAGAAACTACAAAACCCGAACCACCAAAAAAGAAAATCAACCTTCTGTTGGTGGTATCTGACTCAGATGCTGAAAATGAACATGTGTCAGTCCACACTGCTTTGGATTGTTATCAAGCAGAATCGGTCATCAGCATGGACGCATGTCCTCTGGAATGGTGGCTGAAGCATGAAGGGACATATGAATCTTTAGTGCATCTGGTACGTAAATATCTTGCGACGCCGGCTACAATGTCATGCAAATGCCTGTGCTCACTTTCAGGTGATATTGTAAACAAGAAGTGGGCAGCATTATCTCCTGCAAACTGTAACCAAACTTGTTTGAGTGACTGGGTGAACAACAAGTAGGACTGAGTGGACTTGTAGGCTCTAAAGTTTTACATTGTTTTATTTTTGAATGGAGTTTTATTTTATTTTTTTACATAATTCTACATTTGTAAATTTAACTTTCATGATAAAGAGATTGCACTACAGTATTTGTATTAGGTGAACTGAAAAATACTATTTCTTTTGTTTTTTATAGTGCAAATATTTGTAATAAAAATAAATATAAAGTGAGCACTGTACTCTGTCCACATATCTATTCAAGGGAGACCATCATAGGATCTAACTACATCATGTACATCTACATCCAGAGCTTGTTCACCTGCACATCTACCAATGTGATATATGCCATCATGTGCCAGCAATGCCCCTCTGCCATGTACATTGGCCAAACCGGACAGTCTCTACGCAAAAGAATAAATGGACACAAATCTGACATAAGGAATCATAACATTCAAAAACCAGTAGGAGAACACTTCAATCTCTCTGGTCACTCAATAACAGACCTAAAAGTGGCAATTCTTCAACAAAAAAACTTCAAAAACAGACTCCAATGTGAAGCTGCAGAACTGGAATTAATTTGCAAACTGGATACCATCAGATTAGCCCTGAATAAAGACTGTGAATGGTTGGGTCATTACAAAACCTACACTTAATTTCCCCAATACTAATTTCTCCCTACTGTTACTTACACCTTCTTGTCAACTGTCTGTAATGGGCCACTCTTTTACCACTTCAAAAGTTATTTTTCCTCCCTTGGTATCCTGCTGTTAATTGATTTATCTCGCTAGACTGACCTCACACTTGGAAAAGCACCCCTATCCTTTCATGTATTTTACCTGCTCCTGTATTTTTCACTTCATTCATCTGACGAAGTAGGCTCTAGCCCATGAAAGCTTATGCCCAAATAAATTTGTTAGTCTCTAAGGTGCCACAAGGACTCCTCGTTGTTTTTGCTGATACAGACTAAAACAGCTACCACTCTGAAACTGTACACTTGTATTCTGCGTTGTAATTGAAATCAATATATTTGAAAATGTAGAAAACATCCAAAAATATTTAAATAAATGATATTCTATTATTGTTTAACAACGTGATTAATTGCATTATTAATCACAATAAATTTTTTTAATCGGTTGATTTAATCCTAATTTAGATTCAGGTTGAATAACAAACCAAGCTGAAATGAAGTATCAATTCAGGAACATCAAAACGTTTTGTTTTGATCATAAGTGTCAAAACAATGTTTCACATCTCCAAATTGAATGTTCTGGCACTTGGTTTTTTCATGAAAACTAAAATTCTCTACAGACACTTTTTGTAAAAATTTCATTAGTCAAAAATCCAGTTTTCCATCAGAAAAACAGTTTAGTCTAAAGATCTGATCAGCCCTAGAAACAATAGTGAATTACTCAGAATTTAAAACAAATGGCGATTTCCAGATTGTCACTGAATACCGTAAGAAGCTGAAGAACAATTCTCATGAAAATAAAAGCTTTCATGCTGGACACGGATTGTAAATAAAGACCGTAGCAATATAACTTTTAATTTAAAAACAAAAACACGTAAACAAAAAACACACATTACCTGAACTTGCTCAAAAAGAGCAGCCTGCTCCTGGTTATTTAGTGTTGTTAGATGCTTCTGGAGTTCTAGTTTAGTTTTAGAAGGATGTAGTCCTAATAAGCGATGAACCAAGATAAAATGGACAAGTATTGTAATAAGCAAGCTTTAAACTGATACAATACACTAATCATATGATATGCACAGAAGTTTAAATAACAGGTATAAGCATTGCTATTTAAATGAGTTATCTGCATTAGTTTTAGCAGATGGGCACTGTAGTACACATATTTTAAAAAAGTGTACTTTGTTTTATATCAGGGGTCGGCAACCTTTCAGAAGTGGTGTGCCGAGTCTTCATTTATACACTCTAATTTACGGTTTCGCGTGCCAGTAATACATTTTAACGTTTTTAGAAGGTCTCTTTCTGTAAGTCTATAATATATAACTAAACTATTGTTGTACTATTGCTGTATGTAATGTAAATAAGGTTTTTAAAATGTTTAAGAAGCTTCATTTAAAATTAAATTAAAATGCAGAGCCCCCCAGACCGGTGGCCAGGACCTGGGCAGTGTGAGTGCCACTGAAAATCAGCTCGCGTGCTGCCTTCAGCACACGTGCCATAGGTTGCCTACCCCTGTTTTATATAATTACTTACATCAATCCGTAAATATGAACTTTATAATACATATGAAATGAGGAAATGCAATCTTTTGCAACAAGGAGTTTTGCTGGAATAAAGTGCAGGATTAGGCTTCTTAGCTGACTTAGAAGATTGCATGATCATGTAACACAGAATGAACCTAGATTCTGCTGTGGCTTATCAACAGACTCCTTATTGAGGTTTTATGCAGTATAGGTTTTGGGAGTTTGGTTTTTTTTAAAAATATATTTTCTATTAACTATTTTCTCATTTATATGCCTTGGTTTATAATTTGCCTCTTCAAGAGTTTTGCCAAGATACATGAAATACTGTATTCTCCAGCTTTTTTCTTTTGCTGAATTCGTTTACTGATATTTAAAAGCATACAATCCTGTGGCTCTCATTAGTTCTTCTTTTTCTTACCCTTGATTAAATTCCTTTTCTAGATTTTTTTTAGCACCAACAGGTTTCTGTACTTGTTAAGCATCTGATTGTGGAGTGTATATACTTCCCCATCAAGCTGGAGGTGGACAATAATATTTAAATCAGACTCAATTGTCCTTTTAGTGCTCTCAGAATCATAGCTAGCTGAAGGCCAAGAAAAAGTACAGGTAGTGTAGTTCTGTAAATTCTCCTGTTCCTACAGATTAATACCAGATATGTCTTGGTCCAACAAGATACTGTGGCTTTTCATTGATCTGACAGCTACTGCTGTCCCTCATTCACCCCAGCCCTGCCCTAAATGGCTAAATTCTTAGCTGTGAAACTTGCTGAAATGCAAAATGTTCCTGACTTCATGTCTTTGCCACTTTCTGTACAATGGATGTAAGCTGCAATTACTTTGTTTCCTACCAGAAGTACAGGTCAAACACATTAAAAGGATCCACCGTTTGAGATCATGTCTGATAGCAGAACACCACCTCTATCTAACTCAGTTCATTAACAGGACATGCAGTTCTCAGCTAGGGCAGTATATTCCTTAAAAGTTCACTTAAAAATTATTTCCAATTTTTTTATTGTTTATAAATTCAAGAACCAAGTAATTTTCAATGCAATTATATTTAACTTTTATTTCTTTTTAAAAATTAAGTAAATACACAGTATGAATCAATTTAGCTTTTATTTGATCATTCTTGACACTAGTACTCTGATCTTATACTGTATTGAAGTTATTTCTTAATTAACTGACCAGGCTTCAAGTGTCCAAAGTTAATACAGTCCTCGGTTTAAAAATTGTGTATTCCTTTAGATCAATGTTCACACATACAAATATTGCTCTGGTAAGTAAGTTAGATAGAATACATTTTCAAGAGGTTTCATTGTCAACATTGCTTAATACTTACCTTCAATCTTTTCACAGAGTTTATGCAGGAATTGCATAGGGCATCCTTCGCAAAGTTGGAGCTGAGCTTTGGAGGTTTGTTGCACAGCAGCTACAGTGAAAGCCTGTTTCAAAGTCATCATGATTTCATCAACCTAACGAGAACAAGAGAGGAAATCAAGGCTAACGAATTAAAGGTGATTTCTGCTACACTAAGTTGGTGTTGTTTTCAACCCAACAAAGTCAGTCTCTTTAAAAAGGATACCTTCATTGTTTTGGGATTATGTTAGGATAATGATCAGGGAATCCCCTGAGATACTGACCTTCTGATTGTGGGTTTGGCTTTCAAAACTGATATACCTACTGAATGTAATCAGACCTCTCCATTCATTTTAATGGGAGTTCTACTTTTAAAAACAAACAAACAAAAAAAACACCCCATGATATACAACTTGACTTAATGCTTGGTGAAGTATGAAGTGCTCCATGGCCTCTGACCACTCCAGATATGCCAGTGTAGAGGTTATATTTATTTTGAATACGATACATATTCTAACCTCTGTCTTCAACAAAAATTCAGTTTCTTAACAGTTTTCTATCTTAAGAACAATTAAATTTTTATAAATGCAATGGAAGTTGAGAGCAAACAACAACAAAAACTTAGCACCTTATGATATCAGGCCTTTAATTAGCATCTCTTACCAGGGCTTCATCTGTGCACTGAAACACGTAGCAGACAAAGTAGCAGCCACCGTTTCCTGAAGACTCTCTACAGATGAACCCAAAGTGATCCACATGTCTAATACCCTGGCACAAAAGAAGTAGTAACAAAAGATTCAGTCATGTTTACAAGTTGATTTCATACGTGTAATTATCACACCAATACATTAGACAGATGTCCAACAGCATTACAGCATCATGGTAAACCAAATATCTCATTCCATCCATATAAAAACCATCTAGCCCACTAAAGGATCTTTTAAATATATTTAAATCATAAATACTCATTTACAAATGTAACAAACTGTAATGGATCTGTTGGGGAAGAACTTGCATGGACAGACAAGTGCATGACCACATGACCAGACCAGATTAAGTTTGATCTCCAACGTACAGCAGTAAATGTTAAAAATCCTCCAAAGACATTGCATCCACTCTAGGGACTTAATTCAGTGACTCTTCCTCAAATTCAGTAGTACTTACTACTCAATTGTACTACTATTGTCAGTACATATATCTCAGAAAGAAGAAAGGTTACAAAATCAGGCCCAAGAATCAGAAACAAAACCCATATTACATTATTCTGGCAGTACCCACAATGTGATGGCCGCAATACTGCAAGTATTTATTTATCTATCCGTTATTCATTGGTCAATTTCATGTAAGTGTCATGCCACAAGTGGGTTTTGCATATTAAAGTCAACCTTCCATTAAGGATAGTAGAAAAGAGGCATTTGATTTGTTAAACCAAAAACCAGGAGCAGATTCACAAGAAAAACCTGAGTTTCAGTCAGTTATAACTAATCTGGATATTAGCAAACAAGACATTTCTCTGGTATTCCCTATCAATGTTGAATACTCAAGATTGTCACTGTATTATGAGGATACCAAAATCATAAAACATGAATATTTTTGGACACATATTGGCCAGGAGCACCAAAAACGAGAGTAGGTATATGTAGCAGAGCAAGGCCAGTCATCCTAAAGTAATGTGAACAGCACAATCTCCTTGCTATAAATATTAATAACCTTCCATCAAGCGCCAACTGAATAAAGAAAAATAACTTAATATACATGTAGATATCCAACTTCTCATAATATGATGGTTGCATACTCATACTACTTGGAAAAAGTATTATGACAAAGGCAAACATTTGGCATTAATATTTCAACAGAAGATATTAATTAGAAAGATAATTAAATGATCTAGAGTCCTCAGGTTCTTAAATTCTAATTTCCTGTAAATGCCCAGGCTAGCTCTCTTACGGTGTATACTGCAGAGCCCATTGTTATAATATCTGAAAGTCAGTTCCAGAAAATATAAGGCGGCTTGATTTTGACCTCCCTTATATATATTTGCAACTCCATTGACTTCAAGAGGGTTTACTCCCACTGTATACCACCATTAGCAAGATCAAGATGAAACTCATCAAATTTCTCTGTTGGTTACTCAGAATGTTGCACACTTCATGAAATTTTATTCTTGTAAAATCTCTTCATGAGTCTGAGTGAGTTCTTAGATCTGAGAAAATGGAAATTCTATACTGATTCTGAATAATCTGCTAAATAGGATTTGCTTTGGAATTAGTCCGTATTCTTTGGAATATGTTAAAGCATAAGTAGATTACCCACAGCAGGCACGAAGGAATCCTTTATAACCCTCCCCTCCCCTCCACAGACAAGTCTCTCAGAAGAATCAAGTATTTTTCTGCTCCTGGAACCAGTTTTCTGAACTTGATGAATTACAAAAAACAGTGATATAGCGACTCCTATGTTATTATCTACAAGTTTGGGTAGACAGTTTATAGCGAAGACTGTTGGATTCAGAGGCCACAGTACTCTTCAATTTCTAGATTGGTCTTAAAGCCTATGGTTATGGAACACATCTTGTTTATTTATTTTAAAAGAGAATCAGTTCCATTTCTTGATGGACTGTTGGAGCAGGTCTCTCCTGACATTCTCAGAATTATTTTAGCAGACATATCCCGATTCATGCTTCAGATGGAACAATACCACAAGTCATTTTCAATATATAATAATTTTCTGGTGTAAAGAAGGAACACTATTTGATCTCCATCTTTACAGAGAAACAAACTTCAGAAACATGCTAACATGGCACCATCAGTCCTTCTTCAGTAGGTGGTGTCCTTCACTTCATTATAAACACTTTAAAAAATGCCCTAGTTTTTCAAAAAGAATTGCTGACTAATGCAACAAGCACAGCATGTGTCCCTTCACCAAGTAGCTAGAACAGGGGTGGGCAAACTACAGCCCGCGAGACTGTCCTGCCCAGCCCCCGAGCTCCTGGCCAGGGAGGCTAGCCCCCGGCCCCTCCACTGCTATCCCCCCACCCCCGCAGCTTCAGCTCGCTCGCTCCGCCGCCGGCGCAATGCTCTGGGTGGCAGGGCTGAGAGCTCCTGGGGCAGCGCAGCTGCAGAGCCCGGCCTGACCCCTGTGTGGTGGCGGCGGCGGTGTGGCCGTAGTGCCGCCAGCCACCGGTGCTCCAGGCAGCGCGGTAAGGGGGCACGGAGCAGGGGGGGTTGGATAAAGAGCAGGTGAGTTCGGGGTGGTGGTCAGGGGGCGGGGATGTGGATGGTGGTCGGGGGGGGAACAGGGCATTGAATGGGGGCAGGGGTCCCGGGGGGCAGTCAGGAAGGAGGGGGGGGGGGTTGGATGGGGCAGCAGGGGGCATGACCCCTTCCCCTAACCAGCCCTCCATACAAATTTACGAAACCCGATGCGGCCCTCAGGCCAAAAAGTTTGCCCGCCCCTGAGCTAGAACATACTCCAGCTTGTTTTCTTAAAGCTCCCCAAACATACATCAGCCCACTAACATGGACTGTAACACTATTAACATGCCAACTATTCTGCAGAGCAATCCACTAACAAATTCACAACTTTCACCTTGTTCATAATCACAAACGCAATCACCCTATATCTTTGGTTTTGAGTGGTAAGGGCAGTGAAACATAAGGCCTCCCAGGCCTCTCATCACCTAACCAGCAAAGCACAAAGCATCTGCTTAGGTTAAGCACTCATGTATTCCCATGAATTCAAGGGGATCTCAAGGTTAAACACAGGCTTATGTGCTTGGCTGGATCAGGACTGGATCAATAAGAGTCTTGCATCACTAAAAACTCTGCCATATTCACAAGACTAATAATACTTGAGAGCAAGGCAGAATATTAATGTAATCAGGATTCCACTTTGAAAGCATGTGTTTGTTTCAATATCCCAATTGCTTCTAAGAACAAGAACACAGCAGGCAGAGCAACTGAGACAGGCAACCTTACCCTCCTGCCTTGTATCATAGTGGCAGCCATGTCCCAGCACTAACAGCAGAGTCAGGAGTCGGTGCCAACAGGCTCCAAGTATTAGCATAGTTTGGGGGGAAGGCACGACGGGCATTGTCTTCCCAAACTGCAAGCCTCGGGCAGGTGTGGAATTTGCTGCCTCCACCCCATGCACAGTCCCATTGGCCTGACTGGAGGTACTCCCCCAAATACAGAAGTCAAACTACGCCTATGGCTCCAAGGAAACTGTGATACTGCTCTGTGGCTGGCCACACATGGTTGTGAGAGTGGAGTTATCTGCTCCCTCCCCTCTCCTAGTGAGATGAAGAGAAGCTGTATATGTCCAGTATCCCTAACTGACAAACCACCTAGCCAGTAAAGCAGGCCTGAGGGGACCCTTAAGTCAGGAATTCACTTCCTCTGCTGGTTTGAGAGAGCCAGAGTTTAATGACCTTGAAGTCTATCTAATGACTCAGGATTCTAGCCGAAAAAGTGGCCTGAGGGGAGGTCAGGGTTCAGGTTCTCCTGTGATCAGAGAAGTTTTCTTTAATGGCTTTTTAATCAACACAGTGTCAGTTAGTTATATTAACACTCTTATTTTTATAATTAGCGCACATAACAGGTGTGCAAGGAAAGTAGAGGAGAGGGCGCAAGGAGCCCCCTTTTGCATGCCCACACTGGCCCAGGCACAATGGTAGTCATTTTCCTCATTTGTCACTTTAAACCATCTCACCCTCTTTTTGCATCTCTCCACTAGCTCTCCTTCTCCATCATAATAAATTAACTATTTGTCTTCACTTTCAAAGCCCTTCATGGCCTATCCCCACTCCACCCTCCATCTCTCATACACGGTTGAGAGGTCTTGCCTCTCCCTTGCCAATGATGCCAGCCTGTGTCACTCATTTGTTAAATTTTAAAACAAACACCTTTGGATTTCTCCTCCCCTGCTGCCCTTCACACATGCGAGTTCCCTGTAAACGTGCACAAAACTACCTCACTGTCCTCCTTCAAGTGTCTCCTTAAAACGCCCCTTTGCTGTGATGCCTGCAAAAAGTTTTGACAACGGTCGAGCAGCTGCTGTGCTGATACCCAGTGCTTAATTTGTAATGAAAGATGTGCCGGGTCTCAAGCAATTTTTTTACTTTCATAACTGTCGCGGCAAGCCCCAACGTGCCGGGACTATGAACTGCCAAGTTAGAGGTGCTGTGGCTCAGCCCTGACACAAATTAAGCACTGCTGATAGCACTGTCAATCATGCTGACCAGTGTTATCTCATTATTTCTTTGTGAACCTGTCTGGTTTTTTATTCCACCGGTCCTCTCTTGTCTGATATTTAGATTGTAAGCTATTTGGGGCAGAGACCGTCTTTTTGTTCTGTGTATGTACAGCGCCTAGTGCAATGGGGTCCTGCTCCATGACTGGGCTCCTAGACTCTGTCACAGTGCAAACATATAGTACCAAACATGCTCTCCTGAGTGCAAAGTCTTCTCTGAATTCACACTCGTCTCCTCAAAAGAGGCAGGGCCACAGTAATGTGCTCTTCTGCGATGGCCAGTAAAGCTGATTCTATACAGAGGTGGAATCAGTTGCACTACAGCAGAGGTCCCCAAACTGTGGGGCGCGCCCCCCCAGGGGGGCATGGAGGAACATCCAGGGGGCGTGGCGGGGCTCAGGCCAGCCTCTACAGGGGATGGGGAGGGAGCGCCACCCAGCCCCTCCCCGCCCTAGCTGTGCTTTGGTCTTGCCTCCAGCTGCATCCCCAGCTCCCAGCCCCGTGCCTGGCCCTGTCCCCAGCCTTGGCTCTGTTCCTGGCCCCGGGCCAAGGCTGGGGGCAGAGCTGGGAGCAGAGCAGCACCTGGCCATGGGCCCAGCTGCCAGCCTACACTACAGCCCAGCTGTGGCTCTGCTCTGGCCTCCACCCCCAGCCTCGGCCCAGACCCACCCCCAGCTGTGGCCCCAGCCTCGCCCCCCTTCCCCTGCCCGCACACCTCCCCGCCCCCGGAGCCGCAGCCACTCCTGGCCTCGGAGGTGCGTGGACTGGAGTAAGAGGCGGTGCGACCCCCAAAAGTTTGGGGATCACTGCACTACAGTAAACAACCTCCATCTTCCCTCTATAATCCTGGAGGCATAGCATCTGCCTTCACAAGCTCCTACTGGGGTAGTGTATCTCTGTACCCCCTTACTATGAGCTGAGTGCAATAACTGTATATATCTGTGTGGTCTACAAAGTAAAAGTAACCTGAGTTTGACTGTTATTTATGAAGAGTGTTCAATTAACTCTGAAGTACTGTTTACACAGTCTATTTCAGTGACTGATAACGCACTGCACAACACACATACAGCCGAGGGAACCCTGAACTTGCACAACAGTGAATCATGTCTTCTGGAATCTGAAAGCAGAACTTGACAGGATATTCGGTCCACTTATTTTTTTATTGCACAGAGAAGAGAGTCTTGACCTCAGACATTACAAGGCTAAACATTAAACAAGAAATGAAGGCCTTACAAAATGACAGACTGCCAAGGGGTCTACTCACCCATGACATGTGGGGATCCACTTGGAACGAATGGGGAGGGGAGAATCAATGAGTATTCATGAATGGCAGAACCACCATAAAAATTAATGCACTATCAGTTTACCTGAGAGCAAAAGGATATTTCCTTGAAACTTTTCTCAAGTGCTACTTTTTTCGTGTCAGGACTGATGAGATAAACTGCAGACTGCCCAATCTAAAAACAGTTAAATAAAAAAAGGATTACATTTAGCTTCAAGAAACATTATGTCAAATTTGTTCCAACTAAGAAATGTTCCTTGTGTATGAGAAATCTCAAAATGCATTCCACTCCATACTTTGACTCAATGTAGATTTAAATTACAATAGTACAACACACACCACATTTTGCATGAGAGAGAAAAAAATGACGCAAGGTTGGACTTGCACTTACTATTAAATTTATAGCATTGTAAAATACTGAATTGGAATTTTGTTCTGTTTACGAGGCAAAGGAAAAATTAAAGGACCTGCATTTAACTAGACAATAGCAAAACTATATTTACAGCAAATCCTGTATCTTGGCAGGGGGTTAGACTAGATGACACTTGCGGTCCCTTCTAACCCTATAGTTCTATGATTCTACAAAAAATCGGTTTTCCCACAACCTTAGCACATGTCAAGTTAATCAAAGTTATGTGATGAAACTGCAGTGAAATCAAAAGGCAGGCCTGGAAGCTGACCAAACCCCCACTTACATTTTTTTTTTTAAAGTGTTGTTAGATGTACACAGTACTTAATTTAAAGGCAATGTATCTCAAGCTATAAAAATGAGGTGACTGGAGTACATTTTGATGTACATTTAGCTGTAGACCAGTTTTGTAGCAGTAGCCCTGTAGCTGCCGAGAAGCACTGCCAGGTTTGAACAGGAAACTTTTTCCCAGACAGGCACTAATTTTAAGGTGAAACAGCTGTTCAGGATTTTTCGTGAGACTGGACATGGGCCAAGATATAATGTTTAAATTGCAAAATTGTTGCCAAGTCTCTGGGGGCTTCTTCCTAGTTGCCAGAAGATTGTATCTGCAGCCTGGTGAATTTTAGGATGTTTTCCTCTTAGAAAGGTGGAATCCCCATACATGCACTCAAAAAACCAAACTAACCCAAAAAACTACAGCCACCTACAATTCCCAGAATGTACATTAAACCATCGTGTGTCCCAGACACCTAGCTTATTGGAAAGAATCATCCAAGAGTGTAGGGGAGGAGAGTTGGGCCTCCTTCTTTTGTTTGTTCTAAGCATTTCCCCATGGATTCATTCTTGACCCTTTCTCTCACTTGAGCCTCCATAAAACTTCCCACCATCTCCTTGTCCCCATGGCTTGTTTTCCTTTGCTGTCCCCCAGGGCTGACCTTTCAGCTTTTACTTGGGGGGAGGCCATTAATCTCCTTGCCGTTCAGCAGACCTCTCCTCTGTTTTTTGCTGGCTGCCTATTCCTGTGGCAGGCAGCTAGCTCCCACTTCTACCCCATGCAGTTGCAACTGTCAGAGGAGTGGGTCACTGTACCTAGGGCACTGGCCAGGATGGCAATCTCCCAAGATGGTTTATTAAAACAAATGACTGTACCAGCCAGATTAAGGGAATTGGCAAGCATCCGAGTCTAAATGTTTTTCATAACATCTAATGTGCCAAATACTCAGCCTCTACTATACATTTCATAGAAAGCCACAACAATAACCACTGCACTCAAATAAAGGGTAGTTCAACATCTGAACAATGTTAATTCAAGATTGATCAATATTAGTTGGCTAACCAATGAATTCCAGCACTGTGATCAGCTATGGGATGGTGGATACTGCAGTCCCTGACCAAGTCATTTCACTTCCTGCTCCTGAGAGGCGTTCCAACCAGATGTGTCATACAAGAAATCCAACTTTGCGTATTAAAGAAGCACCTTTTGTGAAATATTAGGAGACTAGGATGCCACCAGGCAAAAGTAACCAAAGTTAAAAGCTCAGAAAGAAGCCACATCTGAAAGTCACGCCACTTTTTTGGGTGGCTATCTCTATACATTCAAGTCTGAAGCACATAGAGGTTCGAGTCAAAATTTTCAGTTTTCACATCTGTAAAACAGGGGTTTAAATTACACACACCTTTCAGCATTGTGGCAATTTAGTTAAAGCGCTACGTAAGTCCCAAAGTTCACCAGGTGGGGGGTTGGACCTAAATATCCTCCTATGCACTTTCCCCTCATCCTGCACATGTTTGCCATAGTTTAATAGTTTCAAAAAGTATTTGTTTAAAAACTAAGACTTAATTATTTTAAACGGGGCTATTTATTTTCAAGGTTACAGAACCTGCCCTGCGGAAAGATGGTACATAAGGTTTGGCTTTAGTGGGGCGTGCACATTTTCCCACACACACATCCAATGTACCTCCCGGAAGAAGCCAGTGTACAGCTGCAGAGCAGCTCTAGAGTTCTAGAACAGTCATAGCTAATGCTGTCCTTAAGCTCATCCCTCAAGACATAATGATTACACTTCTATTCTGCAGGTGTAATGCCTCTTCAAACAGTGCATCTCCTCCACTACTCAAGGGAAGGCCTTGGCTCAGAGCCATAAGAAAGCCCTATGAATTTAGTCTGACACAATAAGGGCATGTCTACACTGCAAAATTAAGTCGAATTAACTTACATCGGCATACAGTCTCCGCAGTAATTACATTGCTTGTGCATGTCTACACTTTATTCATTGTGTCAGCAGCGTGTGTCCTCATCAAGAGCATTTATACTGATTGCACTGTCAGCATGGGGCATTGTGGGGTGGCTTCTGACAGCCAGTAACAGTTGATATAAGCAGCACAGTGTCTACACTTACTTTATGCCTCTTGTGAACATGGCGTTATTAAGTCAGCATAGCGAGGCTGTTACATCGGCGAGAGCAAAATGTTAGTGTAGATACTTACATAGTTAGGTCTGCCTGGCATCGACCTAACTCAGTAGTGTAGCCCAGGCCTAAATTTTAAAAGTATTGCACTGTATTTAAAAAACTTTGTACTAAAAAGCACAGAACCACCATCCCTTCCTCTCGCCACGTCCATCTCCAGGGATAGCCAGTCAAAAGAAACACACACAAGTACTTAATGTACCCAAGAGATGAGCTCAAGATAACCAGCCAAAATATTGTCTACTATACTACCTCTAATTAACCAGTGTTGTACAGAATATAGTAAACATGAATGTATTTGCAATATAGCAGGAAAGTGAAGCAAAACTAACCTATACACTCTTCAAATCCTGACCTTAAACCACAGTAGGGGTGTAGCTGGCTAGGTGAATTTTGGATACAGAGAGGTCAACCTGGTGCCAACCTCAACCTCAGTATGCTCAGAACTACCCACAATAGCAGCCCACAGGTACACATACACACCGATTACTACTGGGAGTCGGTGCAGTTAAACTGCAAGAGCACCTTAACTAAACTGCTTGTTATGGGACACAAAGTGAGTGCTTGCCTGCAGCCAAGTTCCAAAGATTCTGTGCTCTAAACAGGTAGCATCTCTCACCTATAAAGTTGTTTCTGCTGTAATTATTTAGCATAATACACACACAATATATATATATCACAGAAATAATAAAAGTTAGTCCCAGCCTTTACATCAGATAATTATCAATAATATTTCCTAATAGTTTCTCAACACTGTCCTTTTGAAGCTCAATGTTTTACGTGGTGCTGTTTTAAACTGTTTCACTTAATATACTTTGACAACGTAAAACAGATTTTTACACTGAATGATAAAACTCTACAAAGAAATATATAAAATTTTATGTGTAACTTAAGCTCCAATAACTGCAGGAAGTTATTCAAGGAGGAACTCCCATCTTTGTAGGACATTTCTTTTGCATTTCCTATCCAGTGTTTAGAGACATAAAATGCTTGCAAAGTTGCAATTTGTTTTACCATGAACAACATAGTCCGGTTTCCTGCAATATCTGTTGGCTGCACAACGTTGTGTCCATAGCCAAGTTGACGTTTTAGGTTCAGCGAAGTCTCAGTTTCATCAAAAGAGCTGGCAAAACTGTTACTCCTGCAACTCCCATCTTGCAAGTCCCTCTTAAAAGAAAAGGAACGCAGCCCAGGCTGAGAATAAGATTTCCTAATTGGCCTTTTCTCTTCTTCTTCACCGACCAAGGGTTGGAAAACAGATCGCAATTTATCACTGAATGATAATCCTCCAGAATTACTGGCAGTTTCACGTTGTTGGGACAATGAATTAAATTCCAATTTTTTAGTACAACTAACATGGTTAAATTTTTCGATACATTCATCTATTAATGCTGGGGGCGCATTTTTGTGTGCTACTGTCACTCGTCCACAGAACAACACCTCAAACTTTTTGGAAAAAGGGTCTTCAACTTCAGATGGATTATTCTGGAACTCTTCTTGGCGAGCGATTTTTCCAGCCTGTCGAATGGAGCCAATAATCTCAGGCACCTACGAGAAAGAGAAAAAAAACAGTATCAACAAATGCCTAAGACATTGGAATGCTAAAAGGAGACTCCTTATGTCAAATTTCCATTTCCAATTTCCAAGTGGCCACTAATTTTGGGTGCCACCTTTTCTGAGAGACCACCTGGGGACATCGTGAATTTATCTCAAACAACATGTGCATTAGCAGTTAGATATTGTTCAATAGAAAACTTTGCAGGGAGGACGAAAACTGGTTAATATATGGAGATATACCTATCTCATAGAACTGGAAGGGACCCCGAAAGGTCATCGAGTCCATCCCCCTGCCATCACTAGCAGGACCAAGCACTGATTTTGCCCCAGATCCCTAAGTGGCCCCCTCAAGGACTGAACTCACAACCCTGGGTTTAGAAGGCCAATGCTCAAACCACTGAGCTATCCCTCCCCCCTTCATTTACTTCCCTAACAAGAGATCATTATCATTATTACACAATCAGTGGACCTGATCTGTCAAGGTGCTGAGGATTTCCAAGGAAGCCTCTGGACTGATTTAAATCAAAACAATTTAAATCACAAATTTTAATCATGATTTAAATCAGCAAGCAGAAAATCTTGATTTAAATAATCAATTTTAATTATGTCTGCATTTGTACGTTTTAGTTATTTTCCTGAAGAAAGGTTGATTCTCATTGGTTGGTAACCATTAAAACATGTTGATTTGCAACAAATTATAGCTTTTGGACTACATTTGGTGCTTCTTTTTGCTAACTAGGAGAATAAAATATATTTATTTAAGCAATTATATAGCTTAATTTAGGTTTATTCAGATCCTCAATTTTTACATTTTTATTATGTTAAGAAATGCATCATTCACCATGCTGTGCGGAGAATAAAATGATGTCCTCCATGCAGTAAAAGTGTCAGAACACCGTTTGTGTGTTCTAGCCCTGGCTCAAGGGACAGACTACTGAATTACCTATGGTGGACCCCACAAGAGTCCAGGGATTCCACTGTACTAGATGATTCATTTTATACTTCTGATTTGTGTCAAACTCCGTTTGGCTGGAAATCGAATGAATAAAAAATGTGCAAAAACCAGCATTTAAAATCTATTTATTAGTTAAATAAAACTACTTTAAATGTGCTGGATACATAAGAAGAAAAGTTTATTAAAATGTTTTGCATTTAAAACTGATTTATTAAAAAAAGGAAATATCATCAATAGTTAATGAATTGCATTGACTGTTTCTGTCCACCATGTCATTGAAAATCGTAGAACTAGTAGGTCTCATCCTCCCACAGCTATTTTTCATTCATAGATTGAAGGAGAAAAAACAAACTTTCCTGCATTTTCAGCTCCCAACTGGTTTCTAAACATTGAATGAAATAGTCATTGAAGTGAACTAGTGTGCTAAGTCGGAGCGTGCAAATGAAATTTGCTGAGGATACCAAGTTTGGAGGCATGATCAATACGGAGGAGGATCGGAACATTATACAGGAAGATCTGGATGAACTTGAAGACTGGAATGGGATGAAATTCAACAGTAATAAGTGCAAGATCATGCACTAAACATTTCTGCTGCAACCTGGGGCTCCTTAGTTGGAAGCAACAGAGACCTGAGTGTGTGGGTCAATTACAGGATAACTATGAGCCACCAATGAGATGGGGCTGTGAAAAGGGTAAATGTGATCCAAGGATGTATTAGGCGAGGCATTTCTAGTAGAGATATAGAAGTATTAATGCCATTGTTCAAGGCACTGGTAAGACTTCATTTGGAATATTGTGTACAAATCTGATCGTATATACAGAATATAACCAGTAGCCACAAAACAATCAGGAATGCCAAGCATTAATGTTATTGGTAGATTAATGGCATATCTTGCACACTTGTTATAACCTTCATAGTAGCACATTCTACTATTAAACCAAAATGTTTTTGACAGAAAGTAATTTTGTTTGAAAGAAACAAAATAATTCCTTTTGTCATATATTTCTATAATTCCACACGGTGGGAGCCCTATCTAAATTAATTTAAACATTCCACCATTTTCAGGGAATCCACGTTAGGAAATACTCAGTTATGATCCACAGAAACTATAAATTATAAAAAAAAAAGCCCAACTACTATCAGAGGCCAATATTTTAATTAATTAACATGAACTGAATCAATAATAGTTGGAAATCGCTTCTGCTGTCTGAATAGCACATGCAAGCCTTCTTCCAATGGTCTGCTAGGCTCATATTTATATACTTGGTTATGTCACACTACTTTGTGTTCTTTCGCAGCCTTTGATTGGAGTAAGGGATTATATTATCATATCAGCAACAAAGGCTGTAGAACAAACACAAACCTGGTGCAATAGTGTATTCATCCAGCGGAGAATACTGCCAGATATTTAACAATCCAGAATGATTTTGACAAAAGACCAATGAATACATAATTTTCTACAGAAATGGATCTCATCTAGTGAAAGAAGAAATTTAGGATTAAACCCACTTTCAGAATGATTGTGTTCATGAAAATTTGATTGCTGATGCTGCAGCAGGAGGTCTGGAATAGCATTCTAAAACATCAAACCAGGAGAACCATCTCCCCAGACAAGTACTGAGATGGTGAGGTATGCTTGAACCCCAGAGAACCCTTCTGGAGGTCACCTCTGCTTTTAATAAACATATCCATGTTTTTTTTTAAACAGCTGAAGTACAACAGGACTATGCAGAAACAATTGAAAGGTTTTACCTTCAAGAGTTCAGAAACTCAGCACTGTTTTTTTTTTTTTTTATAGATAAGGAAGTATGGCAAAAGCATTAGTCAGAGGATTAAAACAATGAATATGACAAATAACATCAGTCAGGAAACATTACTTCACCCTTGAGCATGATGCATGAATCATCAGTTAAATCATACATAGAGGAAAAAGACAATGGGTCAGGACTTCAAAATTCTATTCCCAGCTACACGACTAATTAGCTGAGCAGCCTTGGGCCTAGACAGCTCTGTGCCTTGGTTTTAACATGTAAAACGGAGATGATAGTTCTTGTTACCTCCAAGGGTGTTGTGAGGCTTATTATTTAATAGGCCAGACCGTGTGTTCTTCCCTTTCTAGATTGGAAGAAGAAAACGTCTGTGGGGGACTTTAAGCCATTTCTGCACCCTCCATAATTCTGGCCCTGTCCAGAGACACTACTGAGAGTAGACATAAGGTTGCGCGTGCCAAGTTTTAGGTGACCATCTATGGACTGTTACTCCAGCACAATAGCTTCCTCTCACACCCTCTCTACCCATTGCAGAGCCAATACACCAGACCCTTAGGACTCAGTGCTTGTAAAGTAAAGTACTTTGAGACACTCTCCTGAAAGCTGCTACTTAAGTGCAAAGTGATATTCCTGGAATTGAAGAGAAACTGGGAGTTGGATGAGGTTTGGCAATTTCCAATTCAGATTTGTGAATTGTAAGGAAAAAGACCTTTCATCTAGCCACATAACTTATGTAGTGTGTCAATTACACATATAATTTGGTTATACATAGCCACATTTCAGGCTATGTTTGCATGAGTGTTTTCTAGGAAATCTTCCCTTGTTCCATCACCAGTACAGCTCCACCAATGGGAGTGCCAGAGTAGACCAATTACAAGTATTCATATTACCATGTTATCCAGACAAGCTCTGAGCAGGTTAGAGGACACAATAGGCTAAAGACACTGACAGCTGAGCTACATTCCCATTCTCATCATTGCTACCATTACCAGGACTGTGGTGGTGGTGATGCAATAGAGGGAGATTTCCTGGAAAATGCTAACATCTGCAATGCAAAAATAGCCACTAAATGGAGCTTACCCCAAATCAGTGAAACAGTAGTTTTATCCCTCCAAGCTAGGAGTTTGCACCAGTACAGCTACTCCAAAAGGTGTAGTAGGGGAAAATTCCCAGTGTAGATAGGCCTGTGACCAATTGCTAATGCATTGTTACTGAATTTGTTTTCTTCAGTGTTTATATCCCTCAGATACCCTTCGGACCTTCATTAGACTGCTGTTCTATAGCAAACCGGGCCCTCTATGCAGCTATAATTTAACAAACAAAAAAGACAAACCTAAAATCCTAGGTTTACTTTAAAACAGTTAACGAACTTCACATTCAAAAAGATATACAATGGGCCTTAAAGGGGAGGGATAGTTTTTATTTTGCCTTGGGCTTGAATTTCCTGGTATTACATCATTTATAAATAGCAGCTGGGCTTCAATGCTGTGTCTATTTAAGAGTATTTCCTCCTTTGTTGTGTAAGAACATGAAATGTGTACCTAAGCTCGACACCTAAAGGGCATCCAAAGAGCAAAAAAAGGGGAGAAGTACTGCCACTTGCAACGTACATTAGATTCTAATGGTCAACCTAGAACATTACTTCAGTGGCATAAATGCAACCATTTCTTTAATACATGTGCACACCACCAGGCTGATCAGGCAAACTGATGCAGCATGGTTCTAATATTTAATACTGACATTGAGTAGAAGTGATAAATCTGCACTTGGCTGTGCATTTAAACATTTTCCTTAATTTGTTAGGGGGATGAGACAGGGGAGAAAGAGAGAGGGGGAAAAACCCACAACTGTTTCCCAAAGGTCCTCTAGGGCTGGATGAAATTGTTTAAAAATATTTTTACTATTAGACTTCAGTAGTACACCAGACCTTCATGTACAGGTTTGCATAGAGGTCTAGGAACCAGTAATTCATAAATTTTAATGTTTGCTCTGGCCCCAACTCCCTCTGTGCTCCCTGGGAAGGAGAAATCACTACACCACTCTGTGTCTCAGTTTCACCAATTGTAAAATGAGAATAATGCTTAGCTGCCTCAGTGAGGTACGGTAAAGATTAACTAGTTTAAAAATTGTGAAGTACTTTCAAGTTGAAATGTTATAATTGCTAAGAATTATTAAAAAGTCAGTCATGCCTGACTGACAGGCATACAAACAGGATGTTAGGAATCATTAAAAAAGGGATAGAGAATAAGACAGAGAATAGCTTATT